GACTTAAGTTTTTATGTGTCTAGGGAAAACATGTCATAGTGGAAGCAGTTATTCTCTTAGATACAGTGGTGGTAAAAGGACACAAATTATGCTGAGACTCTTATGTCTTGAAATACATCTTTCCCTGTTTAAGTTTTAATGGATTCAGAACAGGTGTCCTAGGAATTGTAAGGGTCAAAAGTGACTTATGATTTTCTCCTTCATGTTTTCATTTTTTAGCACATATCCCCTCTAAAATACTATGCTAGACACACATTGAATTCTTGATTTAGTCATCTTTACTAGCAAGTAATTTCACAAATTAATTGTTTAGGATTAAGTAGTAAGATAAAAGGGAACAAAACAAAATCCAAAAATGTTTGACTTTATATTCTGGGATTTTGGTTTTTAAAAAAATCTTTATCTAAAAACATTTTGTATTCTGACATGCAAAACAATGATAATACTAAAATCACAATTCATCACGTAAACACAATTTGAGCAGGGTGGGCTGGTTACCACCTCTGACTTAGGCATGGACTTCTGCAAACATCAGATTATAACACATGAATAATCTCTGAGTCAAGTAAATTTAATCACATGATCCTGTATTATTTCTAGTAGAAGAACCAGCAGAAGGGCAAAGCCCTTATGCTTTTCTTGCAAAAATCCCTAACACAAACAACAAAAAACCCAAGCAAACAAACAAAAAAGCAAGCAAAACCACAACCAAATTTAAAAAACCCAAAACAAACAACAACCAACCAAGTATAAAAGCCCTACCTTCTCCTGCCAACATAATTGCTAGTTCATCAATCAAAGAGCTAAGGATGTCTAACTTTGATATTCTGCATAATATAAGGTGGAAGGCTAAAAAAGGAAAATAGAAGTAGAGAAATTATAGCTGTATGCAGGTCTGCACACTGTCCCAAATCCTTCAATTGACTATTGAGCTAAAAACAAACAAACAAACAAAAAAACCCACCACAAACACACACATGGCACCACTACGTAAACCTCAGCTGCCAGTGCTCACACCCCAGCATGGGATAAAGGAGTAAACTGGGGACAGGCTCTGTGCCTTTGCATGACTGCAGAAACTTTACTTCTACCCTGGTAGTTGCCTGGCTCTATGTAAATGCAAATAAAATAGCAAATTCAGTTCAATAGTAAGACTTGAATGTGTTACTCTTACATGCTTTAACTTTTTACATTTTTACCTTACACTTCCAAGATAGAAAGTCAGTTTATGAAAAATATTTCAAGTGCTTCAGGGCTTCTGGTTAGTATGATCAAGTATTTTCAAACTTCAAAATTACATTGCTGATGTTAAATAATGTGGAGTTGATGTGTTACTATAGAACTTTATATATAACTATATAACTTTATACAACTGTAACAAAGACAAATGCTTTCATTTGCAGTTCCTGAATCAGAATGAAAGTAGGTTATCTGCTTCCCTCACACAACTGAAGAAAACAGTGCCTTATACCTAGATAGGAATTAGCTTGGCTTCAGAAATCTTTTGGTGCAGGAAAGTACATTTGCATCTTAGAATGAAGAGGCATTTCCTAACATATATGTTTAGATTTTATTATTTAAATGTTAGTGGAATGTACCTACATACCTACAGTGTGAGTGAACTCTAAATTCCACACCAACTTAATACGGATGTGTTATTAAGTACCTTATGCAGGCTATACCATTTTCAATTAACATAAATACATTTCTCTAAAGAAATGAAAAAAATACAAATAACTCAGCTTTGTTATTTAGCTTGCAAGAACACAAAAATTCTTTCCATTTTGGAAGTGAATTTTTTGCTACACACTGTAGTTTGATTTATACTAAATTAAGTACGAGTGAATGTTATTGAAATCTTGCTTGTCTTCTGGGATACAAATAATCATGATTATATTTATAACCCAATGTTTATATATAAAGTCAAGAAAGCATAAATTAATAATGCTGCATTAGTCAGAAAAAAGGCCTAATGAATTAAGTTTGACTGTAAACATCCAGCAGAGGAGGCTAGTTCTGAATATAAAACTGATCAGATTAGACTGTTTTGAGATATACTTATTTATATATCTTTAAATGATAGCAGATGCTTGAAAATATAAAACTCTGATAGGGTTAACCTGAAGAAAATGTAATTTGTGAGGTTTTTCAATATTTAGAGAATGCAAGCAACTTGTGGGAGATGGACAGATGTTGAGAGGGAAGTGTTTTGGTCTAGATGCAAACATGAAGTTGCCATGAGAAGAAAAATAGAGAAATCACATTATATTATTTTCTCTGTCACTACTGTAGGTGGGATAATGGAAACCCTGTGAAATCCCCAAATCTGCTGTTAGGGCAACCTGAGAAGCAGAGCCAAATGGAAGGTGGTTTTCTGAAGTCATTCAGGTTACAAGCAGGTAAGACTTGAACCCCCTCGTCCATCTCCAACAAAGACACCCAGTTCCTGTTCTCTGATTGTGCAGTGTGTCAGTTTTATGGCTGTTCTGAGATTCTGCTCCTCTGACCAAGAGAGCATGACAGACCCCTGTCATTAACACCGGGGTTAATGTGCACCAGCCTGCCACCAGTCACACGTGCCACGTCTGCTCAGCTGTTCACTTACCAGCAACTCAAGAAGGGTGTTAGCATAGAGAGACACAACCTAATTTAAAAAAATATTAAGGGAGAATATGAAAGATGGGAAGGAAAACAGTTTCTCACATCCGGAGGTCTGCTTGACTAGACCTTCCAAATCCCACAGATTCCCATAACACCCAATTTTTAACTTGGAAATTGATTCAGAGATGACAAAAGAAAGCAGAATACTTTCTTATGGAATCTTCATTCATTATGTGCTTATAGGTGGATATGGGCTAAACAGAAAGTGTCTATGCAGAGTTATCAGATGTATGTTTTTCCCCCCCTCTGTTATCCAGCATGGTTTCTCCTTAAAAGACGCTGATTGCAGCACTTTTCTTGTATTGTGAATACAAAAGCACTTTGGCTAAAGACATCAAGATGTTCTGCCTTGTGTGGATACCTTTAAGACCATCAGAAATAAATAACACAGGTGCTCTGAATTATAAACTTTTAAATTAAATTTTAAATTTTCTTGAGTAAAATTTTGAGTAAATTTTCTTAGTAAAAAGTCTTTTGAATAAATCCAGCCAGAAAACATGCCCTATCTACCCCTGGCATTACAGATGAAAAACTGTCAGGTGAAAGGATCTGTTCAAGAAGTTATCCTTTCAGTGATCAGGTTATGGCAGCACCAAGATTCTTTAGCAGATAGAAAGGGATTCCTTGAAATACCCAGATCTGAGTCACCTGATTTTTAAGTCTGTTTGAACAGACATGGAAAGCTCAGTCTTATTTGTATTAATGAATATTCCAGATGCACACCCCTGTGAAGCCAAAGGTCTTGCCTCCATTTAGTAATTTTTTCAAGGCTCTGAAGGAAAGAGAGGATTAAGAGCTAACTTTTCATTACCTAAGTCATGCACAGGTCAGTATTAGCAAACTCACTGGCATGGGATATCTCTGATTAAGCGAGGGCATTCATATCTGAACTAGTCACAGGAGGCAGATGGAGACCTGATGAAGATGCTCAGTTAAATTTAAGATACAGTTCTTATCACAGCAGAAATCCAAAATTTGGTTGTGTTTATTTGCTTGTTGTTTTTGCTGTTGTCCTTTTGTCATTTTTAAAGCTATGATTTACTTGATCTCTTTCTTTCCACTGAGGATTACAGATTTAAAAATACTTCTCTAAGGGCAAGTGAAAGAAAGAAGTTCTACATGAATGTATGCAATACAAGAATTCTGATTCACTCAGAAGCCCAACTTACTGTAAATCCAGGGACTTGTGAGTTAACATCACCTTACAGGCTCATTTCCCAGATCTCTAACCCAAGGAAAAATCAAAATGGAACCTGACAAAAGGAAGACTGCTCTGGGAAGAACACATCTGCTCACTGTTCCCTGGAATTCCTACATTTTACATTTAAACATTGAATAAAATCCATGAGGCAGTCCTGGGAGCGGGGATGAGATCGAACTCCACCTTTTCTCTCTTCCTCTGGAAATGCCAGTGTTCAGTGCATTGTAAAATCTAACTTGTCCTTTTCCCATTCCCTAGCAGTAGTGATCCAGGTTCTGCTCAACAACATAAGGTGGCAAGTTAGCATCCCCCATTTTCTGTCATTTGCTCCAAGCTGGAATTCCCATGGACTACATTTAGAGCTCTTGCTATTTTTACTGGTGCTCAAAGCAATAGACATTGCATCTGTAACTGCTGTTTTCTGTTGTATGGTGTTGGCTGGCTCTGAGCAACTTTCCATTTACCACCCAGGAGCTCCACAACAGCATCCCAACTCGCTGCCCAAGTAGTGAAGACCAGGACTCACATGTTACTTGGCAGTTCCCGTCTCTCTGTTGTTTATATTGGGAGATAAGCAGAGAGAATAATTTTTAGCAAATGTACTTACTTTTTAAGCACTGCAATACCTTCTGACCACCAATTTCAGGCTCTAGCTACTATTTGCAGAGAATTGATGAAGAAACCTTCCTATTAAGGAAGTTTATAGTATTGTCTTGCTCCTGGATAGTCCAGTGGTAACACAATAAACTGGAAATGTGACTTAGTAAAGGGTTTAAAGAAGCCAACAGGACCTGAAGCCACTGGTGGGTGATCACATCTGTCCAAGGCATATTTTGTTGCTCACAACAGCAACACAGGAGTTATATTTCAAAGCATTGACATTCCCCCACCCTGTATATTGACTCAAGATTTTAAAATCTAGGATTGTCTCTTCACTGCAACATGAATTAACTTCTTGTGCTATTTGATAAGAGAGGAAAAATATGAAGAATGCTAAAAGGTGGAAGGATGTGCTAGCTACAGCAGTTCCTCTGGCATATAGGATTTAGAACAGATAATTTCATAACTGTGAAAGGTCATGCAAATATCAGTCTGGAAGAGATGTGGAGAGACCTAACTTTGTAGAAGATGAGTCTGAAGCAGGCATATAATATATTGTCCTTTGTTCACCACTGGGAAACGGGTGATCCTTGAAGCAAGTTTTAAACGAATTATTCATTGCTACAAGTTGATGCTGACAAGTATGATGTGGAGAAGTACAGCTAGCAAAGTTATGGTGAGAAACAAGATTATGTCACAAGGTGTCCAGCACCTAGAGACAACCCCCTCACTTTTGAAACCTTGTTGGACCAAGGACACAAAGAATACTTTAGAGCCCTCAAAAGATAACAGACAGGAGTCCGAGGCACCAAGGTATGTTATCAGCATAGGAAACTGGTGGGCACAGCATGTGAGTCAATGAAGTAGGGGGTAGCTTTTGTTTGAGCTGGGCCCCAAATAACCTTCTTCTGCACCACCAACCCACTTCTGAGGAACTGTTTGCATGGTATTTTGGTTAACTTTGGAAGCTGATTGCATCTGCCTGGGATCTACACATCTTGCACTAACTACTATTGACAATTTTGGACAGCCGTTTTTACCATGGCTCTTACTTGAGTAAGAGTCATGGTAAAATACTAGTAACATTACTAAGAGGAATCTCACCAGGGCACAAACAATGTTTTGGTCAGTCAGGTTGATTTAAGCTCTTGAGACAGCCGTTTTTACCATGACTCTTACTTGAGTACATAATACTAGTAACATTACTAAGAGGAATCTCAATAATGTTACTAATACTAGTAACATTACTAGTATTAGTAACATTACTAAGAGGAATCTCACCAGGGCACAAACAATGTTTTGGTCAGTCAGGTTGATTTAAGCTCTTGAAAAAGATTAGTTTATAGTATGATCCTGTACTTCAGACAGTTTTAAGCCAAGAGACCCAAGTATCTTTCAAAGGTGTGTGGACTCTATATAAACTTTCTATGTAAAAGAAAGGGAAACTTTTCTAATGTATTAGAAAAATACATTAGTTTTGGCACCTTAGAAATGGAGGTATATGTAAGGGAGAAAATTAAGAAACCCATTAAAAAAAAAAAAAAAAAGGAAAAAAAAAGAAAAAAAGTGTTCTTATGCTTTAGGTCCTGGAATTCCACATACTGGTATTTCAGAAGGAGCAGGTGGGGAAAACACAATAAAAATTGAGCTACCCCACAGATATTACTCTTCCAGGCATTTCTGCAGAAGATGCAGAAGGTAAATTAGTTGATAGTTTTGAGAGGATACAGAATCTTAAACACTTCTTACTCCTTACTGGCAACACAATGGCTCAAAAAGGAAGGAGGAGATAAGTGTGAGAACCACTGAATTGCAGAAGATCAGCACTTCACTCTTCTCACCTTACGATTTGATGGGAGTAAAACCAGACCACTTTCATCAGATGCAGCTTCAAAGTTGCAAAACCACAACCAAAGTTAAAGAGTAGCCTCAGTTGAATGGGAGAGAGGCAAGAAGGTGTGAAGCAAGTTTCCATTCAGGTTTCATGTTCTTGCTGACTTCACTGAGCTCAGAGTGACTGTGAGCTGTAAGATCACAACAATCAGTTCATGGCCTGCATGCACAGGGTGCAGCCACAAGAAATCACCACTTTCATGGTGCAGGATGATAAGAGCATTAAAATACCTTCAGTAAGCACCTCAGTTTATCATTTGCTCAGTACTGTTGTCCATGGATGAGCACACTGAGCATTGGTCTAAATGATGTCAAAAAATAAAAGCTGCATCAGAATTAAACAACCCAGTGATTCTCTAAGATTGATAATTATTGTAATCAATTCAACAACTGGCACTACTTCTATTGGCATACACTGTGCCCAAAATGCCAACCTTATGTCCTAGTGATCAGGTATCAGAAATGGAAATGGCGGGTGGCCAAAATCCACCCTTTTTAAGAGGGTTTATGTCTTGATATTTGTCCTCAAGTCTAAGAGTTGTACCAGGACACCAAGGAGGTAATGGTCATACTGCACTGTCATAGGCCACCAGGTCTCTGCTCTAGCCAAGAATCCATAAAAGCAGATCTTGTCTGACAGAACAGAGATGATGAAAGCTGGCTGCTCTCTTGGGTATACGTTTGTTACTGGTAGGAGGTTGCAAGATGTATTTTAACTAAGACAGAAAAAAAATTTACCTTATTTTAAAAAAGGATAACGAATAAGAGACCATTACAGAAATCTACTGAAGTTGTAGATCAGTTTCCATAAAACTAATTAACTTAATGAGCAAACTCTTTGAACCAATATCTAAATGCATTACTGAAGATTTAAACATTCACAAGAAGTTCAGAGACTGTTTCAAACTGCCTAGTATTTGTCAAATTTGTTCTTTGAAAATACTGAAGACATTGAAATGTAAAATAGATGCAAAGGCCCCTAAAATTATCAGCTTCTATCACTCCAAAATAACAGGCACGTCGATTCCTTAAAAATGTGTTAAATTTAATGTCAAATTTGTTCCTGAACCTGTTGAGTTTTCAATATATATGCTCTGATCATGGGCTTGACTATGTCTTCCCACCCATCTTAGGACATTAATCACTCCTGTTTTCTTACACCTAATATGGATGTTAGCAGAAAGCCTTCTAATCCTTTTGCACTTAGAACCGAGGTGATCTGTATGTTCTAACAAAAGAGAACAACACATATTAACATGTATCTATGTATAAAGACATGTAAAATGCATGCTCTACTTAGCAACAGGAAAGAAATAACCCACCCACCTCAGGTGAATCTTCTTACAACCTGAAGGACTACATCAGGTTTTTCTCTTCTTTTCAACCCCACCTTCATGCACATCCCAAACTCCTATAGACCTCATCAGGAGATTTGCATATGCAAGCACGAGAGCGAGGGGGACCTAGGGGTTTGCTAACCAGCCGTGGATGGAACCTTTAACTTCACAACAAGCAAACAATGGACTAGTTGCACAATAAGTGTGTGCCAAAGCCTTCCATATTGGCTGCAAAAAATAATTTTAAAATCTTTCATCTGCAGCCACTGTAAAATCATTTTGGGGGTGGGACCGAAAATCTCATCACTGAGGAAATCTGGACCCTAGGTACAGGATTAAAAAAAAAATAAAAAAAAATTAAGGATCTGCTTCATTACACAAACCAACGAAAGGGTGAGGTCATGCCTCTGCCGGGCCATAGTTCATGCGACACTACAATTTTCTAGAGATACAATTTCATCGTCATTCTAACTAATTTGCGGTTACTTTTGATACAGAGAAAAGGAAAAGATACAATAGATCAACCCGTGCCCCACCTTTCTCCCTCCGGCCCCCTCCCCCTTTAGAGCCAGGGACACGAATTGTTTCGGAGCCCCACAGCGCCACCAGCACAGAGCAATGCAAAACAAAAAAGATCTCCCACCGGGTGAAAAAAAAAAAAAAAAAAAAAAAAAAAAAAAAAAAAAAAAAAAAAAAAACCCAAAAAAAAAAAAAGAAAAAAAAAAGAAAGAGCCTAGAAAAATGCCAAAATTTACAAAATTGTCTCCCATATGTACCTTCTTGGAAGAAAAAGACCAAATGAACCACTCAACCTCCTCCTCCCCCCCCCCCCCCCCCAAAAAAAAAAAAAAAAAAAGAACAAACAACCCAACACCAAGACATCGAAGTGAAGTGTGGGGAAATAAGAACCTTTATGTAACTAATGCTTTAAGCTAATTATCACAAGAGCTGAAATTTGAAAATAAAAAGGTCACTGTTTAGTAAGAGACATAACTTAATATAAACCCTCTTATGTCCATCTCCACCTTCACCATACCAAGGGCAGTTTTCCCCCTTACTTTCGACCAAAGTAATCCATCAAGAGCCATCACAAATGGCATTGTAAACTCTTTTCGCTACCACCAGACCATACAGTAGCAACATAATGTGCTTCTTTATACACGAGAGCTGCATTATATTTATATAGACAGTCACATATTTGCTCCTGGATCCGTTTATTACTCGGTAAAGAATTCCCCCCTGCCCCCCCCCGCCCCAACAAAAAGCCAGAACCAAAAAAAAAACCAAAAAACCCAAGTCCATCTGGAAAATATTTGAGTTCTTATACTCCTAAACTGAAGTTAAATTGTTTTTAATCTTCGCGTGTATAAAATTGTAAAGAGGAAACAAAACTGACTTCAGTAATTGTCGCTATTAAGGAGACACCGTTGGGTGGGATTCACATGAGATCAAAGCTATGAAAAATACAAGACTACGTTTTGTTCATCAACACAACGAAAATCCTCCACAGCACTAATACACGCCAAAAACCCGCAGAAACGAATATTTTTGGTGAAAACCACAAACTTACCTTCGAAGAAGGCAGCCCTTGCAAAAAGGCTGTAACAATATGGACTGCATACTCGCTCTCCTACAACCAGCCACCTCCATGCTGCAAAGGGCTTCGCGAACATCCTTAAAATATTTCGCAAATGCAGAAAGTGAGACTTTTCTTTTCTTTCCTTTTTTTTTTTTTTTTCCCTCCTCCCTCTTCTTTGCTCCCCCTCCCCGTCACCCCGCCAGGATCGCCGGGCGAGGAAGGAGGCGGCTTCCCGAGGGTCGGCGGGCGATGCCGGCGGGCGGCCGCAGCCGGGGCGGGGGACCCGGTGCCGCCGGGGTCACAACTTTGCCGGGGCTGGCGTTGCCTCGATGGGCTCCGCGGGCAGCGGCGCCCCCGCCCGCCCCCCGCTCCCCCCGCCGCCGCCGCCTGGAAAAATGCAGTGTGCCATTTTACACCCGCCGCTGGAGCACACAGGACCAAAGTCTAGCGCTGGTTTTCGGTGACACTGCAAAACTACGGCTCGCCCCGCGCAACCCCACGCCTCATCCTCCCCTCGGAGAGAGCAGCTGCCTCTTGAGAATTAATAAAGAAAGACAGTTGGACAAAATAATTCCAAGACTTCGCCGTTTTCCCTCCGTCCCTCCCCCCGCCCCCGCCCCCACTCCGAACCCCGCAGCAAGTTTGTGCCGCCCGGCGCATCCTCGGCCTCCCCCCGCGGCACCCCCGCACCCCCGCCCCGCCGGGCTCCGGCAGCCTCGCTGCATCCGAAAGAGCCAGTCATGCCTGAAACAAAATCCATGATTCCTGGAAAGTGGGGAGGCTTCAATCCCAACAAATCCTCAATTTACTTACAATTGTAAATACCTACCTTATGAAAGGTCTAAATTAACACTAAATTCAACAGATACATCCGTTACGGCAGGAATAGTTTTTCCATAAATACTGTTTTAAAAACCCCTCCTTATACTGACTGACAGAATTCTACCATGCTGCCCACAAACAAAATGGCTGTGGCACCGAGTTTTTTGGTTCCTCCCACTGTGCCTCCCCCTGGCCTCCAGGAAGTGGTAGAAATCCAAAATAAAATCCGCACGAAAAGTACAATACATCAGCCAAACTCCGCACGGCACCGCCAGACAGCATCGGGAGGGAAGCGCATTCACCAACACTGTAGTTTCTCGAGGATTTTTATTGTTTTTAAAAGGGCATCAATCACTGGGAATTTACATCACTGTGTAATTTGAACTTCCTGCTTTACATATTTATAAGGTCTTTCACCTATCTTGGCAGGCTTTCAAATTAAGTGGGTTGGGAAATTTGATGCTGTGGCTCTAGTTTGTGAGCTGAGTCAGGTACTGCCTGCTGGAGCTGGGCTCTGAAAAGACGGGCAAATTCTGACACCTTCCCTGTTCAGTGCAAGATAAAATAATCCCCCTCGCATATCACAGTCTCGTAAGCGAGCATGTAGGCACCAAGAGGCCCCTGGAATGAGGATTCTCATCAGAAACTGAAATTTAGGCCTCTTGCACATAAATACAAGCTTTGTAATATTTATAATTTTGCATTTGTGGTTCACAGCAGTCTCCCTGAATCATGATCTCTGTGGAAATAATCTTGGCTTTTTTTCTTATTATGACCCCATTTAGTGTTGCAGCCCTTTAACTTTTGCCACATTCACCCTAAAATAAAAATAAACAGGAAAATATAGCGTATTTCTATTAGGGATTGTGATAAAAATGTCACTATATCTGAGCCACCAATCTTGCCAGGCAGTAGCACAACTCCTCTTGCACGCTGCCTCGTGGGCTCCGTAGGGGCTGATTCATTTCCCGTGAGAATCCTTTTCCTGCCTTTAGGAGGAGTTACAATGGAGACAGGCTGTCAGACCTGCCCAGCCTGATCCAGCCCTATATTAAAAGACTTGAATTCATATTCTCACCTACTGCTATTCTAAACCTTTGTCAGAGGCATTGAAAAAACTGTGCAATCGGTGATGTTTTTCCTGAACCACCTCATATTTCGAAGTCTTAGATTTCAAAAATAAAACAACAACAACAACAAAAAACAAACCACCCAAAAAAACCTACAGAGAACTTGGAGCAAATTTTCCGTTGGTATAATTTGTTTGTATTATCATGTTATCTAGCAGCCTTAATCCTGAACTGTGATTATAATGTTATATTGTATAGGAATATAGGGCAAAAAGATAATTCCTGCCCTGAAGAACTCAAAAGTATAAGACAAAAGACAGCAGATGGCTATGGGCAGATGAGGGAAACAATGAGACTGTATTGATCAGCGGGGAAGGCACAGTTTGCAACACACCATCAGTCCAACTCTTGTTTCTGTGTGTACTTCATGGCAAAGAAGACATAAGGTGGGATTTGCTGAAGAAAATGAATCAGGTTTTGTGGCTGTTGAAAGAAAACTCCAGCAAGAAGGACAGCATGGAAGAAAGCACAAAGATGTTTGAAAAAGCAGCAGGTGAACTACAGAAACCTAATCAAATCGGCATTAATCTTTGTATAATGACAGAAAATAGATAAGGAGGAAGTAGGCTATTGAAAGCACTGAAAATACAGACACAAAGCTTATGTTTGAGACAGAAGAGGCAAAGAAAGGATCCAAAAGGCATGGTAGAAAAATCATAAACCAGGCCTGCTAGCAGTAAACAAGCCCTAGGAAAAAAACTAGACAGTAGTTCACATTGTAGGGGCCTGAAGAGGTGTAGCACATTTTTTTTAGGAAAAAGAAGTGTTTTCTTAACTATGAGTTTGGGGACTCTGTGTTGATTGTCTGCACCTTCCTCCTAGTTTGTATTTAGTGAATTCTTAAGTCCTACTCCTGATGGTAGTGTTTAGTGTGTGGACACCTGATTACTAAAGGGTCCCCTCAAAGTTGTTAATATGAGTGGATAAGCACATAGGAAAGCTGGGACCAAGCTGACCTTGCACACTGGAAAGGTTGCTTCTTCCATCACTTGTTTTTGGAGAAACCTTCATCTGCCAGCAGTGCCCCATAGGTTACTGTGTGTCTCACATGAGCACAGGTCTGAAAGATGCATGGTGGAGGGGCAGAAAGGACTCTGGTTTAGGGCATAGCTACAGCCAGGACAGCAAATCATGCTTTGGAGGGGAAGTATGGTCTGTAGGCTCAGGGCCCTCTCAGGACACCCTTTACTATGTTGATGTAGGTTATTGAACACTTTTTTCTTTATTTTCCACATTAGCAGGAAAATGCAGGCACACAATTTCAAATTCTTTGTACTTCTGCATGAAACACCTTAGATAACTTTACATTTACTGTGAGGCTCTTAAGTATGTTGGCTAGTTGTGCTACAACGTGGGGTTAAACACTGCACAGTAAATAACCTCAAATAAGCAAAGCCTTGGTGAACGTCTGTGGAATTATTGTGGTGTGGCAAATGTGAAAAAATTTGGCTGGATTCTTTTGTTGCAGACTGAACTGAACTGCAACTGTCCCACATTTCCTTCAGATTTGAAGCTTGCTAGTTCTGTAGGTAAGCTGATGTGTGGTAACTGTTTAAGCCAGGGTCATTTTCTCTCGTGCTGGATCTCATAATCGGTTTTAGCTGAAAACAGTGTCTATCAAGTGCTAAATGTTAAGAATTGAGATAGGGATTGAAATACACATTGTGACTGGTTTTTTTTAAATCTGGATGAGTGTTCCAAGAAAAGTTGAACCATATGTTCTCAGGCTTTAACAATAACCGCTGCTTGACTTGATGTAAAATTTCCCCAATATCCTTACAGTTCAGAGTAACTGAAAAGAGCACCATCACCCATTCGGCACTTTTTTTTTTTTCAGCTTTGTCCACTGTTTGGTGTGAATGTTTGCCTTGAAATTTTGCTCAAAAACAGAATATCTGTACAGAAGCAAAGAAAAATCTAGCTACATTTTAGGATTTAGATTAACACCGAAAAAAAGTGGCTAAAACCTCATAGCACTCAAATAACAGCTCCTTACTGAAATTAAAAAACCACTTTTTACATTCTGCTTGCAGTATAATTACTTTTGTTATTCTTTATCTTTCATTTGCATTAATCTTTATCTTGCTCATAAAGATTTAACTCTATTGACATATTTTCCAAGTAGCTCTCTATCTCTACACTTGTAATAAACAAATTACACTGATCTCCTTTTGACAATATTTTCTTGATGTCTTTGGGAAGTGAATTACCAGTCCTGTTAAGTCAGTAAATCATTAGATAGATAGCAAGAGCTAGAGGTTGTCAAAGGGCTTTTTCAACTTGTATGTAAATGATCATTTGTTGTCTTTCATAAAAGTGGCATTGAATGTTTTTTGGTTGAAAGATCACCAAATGCATAAATAGTTCACATTTTTATTCAATAGATAATGTTCACATAGCTGCATAACTGCTCTTGAAGAACCAAAAAAGCTGATTTGCTGTAATTTGGAAAATCCATAAATTATAGCATAAGAATGGATTATTGATGCCTGACTGTATTATAAAAGAGGACATGGGCTCCCATAGCTTAATTCTTGCTTGACCCAGGTCAGATATTTTTAAAAAAGCATGCAGTCTTGACTAAAAATGCATAGCAGTAAAAAAAATCCACATAATCTTTACTAAATTACTACAGTGATTACTTGACTCACTTTAAATCACACACTTTGTTACATATTAAACCTCCTCTTTCCATTTCTCTGTCCAAGTCCAGGTTTTGTTTGAGTATATAAGACTCACAAAATGTTACTCTTTATTAGGGGTGTTATGTGATTTTAGTACTGCTCTAGTTTACCAGTAATCTTCATGCTCAATGTTCCATGCATATCAGAGATAAGCACAATATGCCAACAGCAATGACTCTACTTGCCAGTACTAAAGTAACATCTTTATTTTTTATGCATATCCCAACATTTTATTTGCTTTCTTGCAGCATTACCATTACAGATACTCCTTGTTTAGCAAAACCTCCCATTAATATCTCTATCCTTTGCAGTAGTCTCTTTTCAGTTGCATCATCTCCCTGCTTCTCTCAGTAGGACTTAACATTGCTCTCAGGATTTAACTTTTGCCCCTGCACAGATACATGGACTGCTCTACTTGGGCCCACCTTAAAAAGCCTACCCAAATTACCAATAACTCGTTCACTGCTGGTTTCCTCTCCTTCAAGCTCTGTAGCACTGTGAGCATCAGTAAGGATTCCTTTCCATGTTACTCTTACCTTAAGCAGTGTTTTCATTTGCTTCAGACACTGAAGTTGTCTGACTCCTGACTTTGTTTCCTTGTGCTGGGACCCTGTCTTCAAATGTTTTATGACTGGACCAATAGGATTTAAAGCCCAGTGTTGTCACACTGTGTCATTCACTCTTCTCACATCACAAGTACCACCAGTGGCAGATCTCATGGTTTTAGGATGATGTTTGGTGTGGAGAAATAATTAAGTCAATTTAAGTGGAAAACCAATTTATTACAAAAATGTGCATAGGTCTTCTGAAAATAAAAACCAGAAATAAATCCTGACAACATCTGTTGCTCTTGGCTGCCAAGTTATGCCACACATCTTGCAGTATAGTTTTTCTCTCCTTCCTGTTTATTGGCTTGTATATTTGTTGATGGCCTGAAAGTATCTAATCAGATCCCCTGCACAGACTGGTCAGGTCATAATCTACATATTTTTATGAATTAACAATCTTCTTTGGTTTTGGAATGTATATTCCGTTGAATTGCTATAGGACTCAAAAATGCTGTCCTTTCAGAATTAAAGCTATGTCCATATGACAAGTCCAATATGGTTATTAACAAAAAAAATTA